CCCCACCACCCAAAAAAAATAAAACAAAATGCAGACCAAAAGAGGATCTTACCCTCCCATTGCTGGCGGCGCACCTGACGGAGAGCGTCCGCGGCGGCATCCTCCCCACCACGGGAGGAGGCACCCACCCATCTCGCCCTCCTCCTCCTCCTCTCGACAACCGAAGCGCCCTACACCGAGCCGACGACGACAAGGCCGCCCCCCTCCTAGCGCCCACGCCCCACGCCGCGGCGACGACCGGCGCCTGTGCCGCCGCCATGGCGGGCCGGAGCCCCGCGGCGAGCGGCGGCGCTGCGGCCATGGCAGGCTTGATCTAATATATAACAATAATAACAACAATAATATACCGTACTGAATCTGCGGACACGCAACAACAACAACCGGCGGCTAACACGCAACAACAACAACCGGCGGCTACCTCAGAATTCTCTTGAGATACTAGAAGTAGATTGTTCAGTTCTTCAGCGGCGGCGGCGGGAGATCGGAGATTGGGATTGGAGCGGAGGCGAGCGCGAGGATAGAACGGTGAGGTGGCGAGGCGGGGTGCGGGTATAAATAGGTGGCGGTGGGCGTCGCGGCGGCGGGGAGGAGAGGGAGCTTCTGGGAGGTTCAGGGGGGAACGAGGAGGGCGTGGATGGATGCAACGGAGGAAGATAGGGGGAGAAGAAGACAAGACACAGGGCTAGCTGCGTGTGTTGTGTGTGTACTTGTGTGCTTCGGGGACCTGCGCCGTTGGATCTCCGGGTGGACGACCGGATGTGAGCCTCTCTTTCTGCTGCTGCTGGTGGTCCCTGTTGAAAGGAGAGAGGGTCAAGATCTCTCTTGTTGTGTTCCTGGGGTCTGGAACTTTTTACATTTTTAGTCTTTGTGAATATTCATTAGAGTAAATTTTTACGACTATACCTCTCGAAAAACGTATTTTACTAATGGATATCTTTTTTCTCGGCGCCGAGATTCAATGTCTCAACATCAATGGCACTGGCGTCAGCCGCCAACACTCTTATCCCACGTGATAGCTAAGTCATTTATGTGAAGGGATCAACACCAAATAGACTGATGCCAATAACTTGTTTATAAAATATTTTTCTTATAAATAGGTCCTCAGCGTCAATCTCTTTAGCAACGACCCCTGCTAGACAGGTGAGGATGTCAGTGCCAAGATGTTGGACCTTGGCGTCAAGGTTACTGGCGCCAAAATAGATCCATTCATGAAATAAGTTTGTTTTCGATATTTGTAAAATAAGTTTTTTTTTAAAAAAAAAGGTAAAACATGCAAGTTCCTGGTAGCAGCTTCCATGTTTCCTCAAAGACATTTTTTCAATGTTTTTTACGTGGATGAAATAAAAATTACTTCTATTGATAACAAATTCTAATATCTATTATTATAAAAATTAAAAAAAATTTGTCGATATTTTGGTACATCATCCGTGTATAAGTCGGTTTTTAAGTTCGTTTGCTTTTGGAAATATATATCCGTATTTGAGTCAGTTTTTAAGATGGTTCACTTTCGGTAATATAGAAGGAATTATATAAGAAATCTGTTTAAAAAAACTCGTATGCTAACTTGAGACAATCGGACTCCTAACTGCAGCTCATGATTTTCTAAAAATATATATATCCAAGCGAACTCCCATAGTAAATTTCATCTTAAGTAAACCATATAACAATAATAAGATTGAAATAGACTTCACCCGTCACAACGCACGGGCATTTTTTCTACTAAATACCATTGCACAATAAGTTATGTTTTCTGCTTGCCACCACCATCATTTATCTATCGCCTTAGTCTGTTATCACCTCTTATAATTACCTCTAGAATTGATTAAGCACCGTGTATGCACTGTGTGAGCTCTTTAATTAGCTCATAGCTCGGGTTGCCAATTCGTGATTTGTGAATGACTGGATGTGAACAGATGGCCTATTGAGTAAAACATGAAGAGGAATTGAGATATTGTATCGCTCTTCTCAAATTGCATAGTCCTCATCAGATCCGGTCATTGTCTCGTTGATGAAGCTCATGTAACTCAAGAGGAACCACGGCCAATTCTAGTAGTTGATGAACCTTAAACTCAAAACCAAGATGCACCTTTTGTTTCTATTTATGATGTTAATTGTCTCAAAAGTGAACCAGGCTTAAGACTTCCTGTTGAAAGCTATCATGTCAATAAGCAAGATGATGTTTGGAGAGCATATATTCTCAAGGGCATGTGGTAACATTACTGATGTGAATTCTCACCAGTGGCGGACGCAAAAATGAGATACGAAGTTAAGAAATATATATTGAGATATTGATGAAATATAATACTAATCGAGGATATTTCTACAAATAAATAAGCTTCAAGTCCTTTTTTTTACATCCATTTTCTTTTTGAAACTCGATCAAATGGAATATATACTACTATACATGCTATATGATGGGTATTTTGCAAGGTACAAGTGTAAACCATGTCCTATGGTATGTCCGTCCCTGGCTGTGAAGCATAGAATTGCTCTCTTTATCCTCATTACACATTTTCACTTCCAAATCCACAATAAAGGTCTAAGTGAATAAGTCAATCTACCCTTATAACGAATTTTATTCTCTTATGAGACCTTCATAATGACATTACCAACTGGTGCACCTTTCACAAACAAGTTATATTTCTCTTGAATTTTTGTTTTGTGCATTTGTAACAACACCCCGTGCCTTGGATTTGTTCTAATTTTTCCAACCACCGTAAAAAAACTACTACTTCTATTGCTAAATATATAACATACCATACAAAACCCGATGTCCTTATATTCAGATAGTTGTACTTACGAAATCAAATAAAATTAAATTGGTATTGCCGTTGCTTAACATATACTACCTCCGTCCAAAAATGTTATAACTTTTGGCTATGAATCTGGACAACAGTTGTCCAGATTCATAGCTAAAAATGTTTATATTTTGGGACGGAGGGAGTATATTTCAAGGTGGGAAGCAAGGACAGACCATAGGACAAGGGGGTACACTTTACCTTGCAAAACACCCATCATATAGCATGTATAGTAATCCCTCCATTTTAGGTTATAAGATATTTTGACTTTAGTTAAAGTCAAACTACTCACTTAAACTAAGTTTATAGAAAAAATAATAACATTTTCAACCCAAGACAAATTTATTATGAAAATATATTCAATTATTGATTTAATGAAACTAATTTGATATTATAAATATTATTATATTTGTCTATAAACTTAGTTAAATTTGAAGTAGTTTGATTTTAACTAAAATAAAAACGTCTTATAACTTGAAACTATATTCCATTTGATTGAGTTAAAAAAGAAAATGAATATGTCAAGAAAAAAACTAGACTCGAAGCTTATTTATTTGTAGAAATATCCTTAATTAAGATTATATTTCATCAATATCTCAGTATATTTCTTAACTTGGTACCCCATCTGAATATATCTGCGTCCACCACTCAACAGGTGAAGAGAGACTCTGCTGCACCTGTTTTTTGATTGTCGTCATTTGTTTGTGCTGGAGAACACTAATCCTGGGTTTCATCAAATGGTGGTACTTGCTAGGATTTTATTATGGAGAAAGGGTTTCATGGAAATTTTCTTTATAGTGGCTGGCACATTTGGAAACAAATAAATGCACCAATCTTTCAGAAGAAAATGCCAAGTGTTAGTGCTTGGTTTCATTCTTTTAAATTTGATATATTCTCCTGCGTACTTGTAGAGAGAAGGATCCATCGGTTGAACATCAACGGCAGTAGAAGGTTTCCAAGTTTCTCTATTACAAAATAATAATAATAATAATAATAATAATAATAATAATAATAATAATAATAATAATAATAATAATAATAATAATAATAATAATAATTCTGTCACATATTTTTAGGCACTGATCCAGACCATCTGCACACGATCCAACAGCTCAAAGCGCGTGTAAATCCTCCGCGAGTACCAACCAAGCTCAAGCTCATGCACAACAGGATAAGTAAAAATACTATTCCCTCCGTCCTAAAATATAAATATTTTTAGGTTTTAACACGGTCTACGAGATACTACTTTAACCAACAATATCTATAAAAATAAAATATTTTAAATAAAAAGAGTTACATATTATGATAGTTTGTTTAATGATAAATCTAGTAACATCAATTTTACATGATTGATCTTTTTTTTTTTTGCTATTAATAGTCAAAGTTAAAAATGTTTGACTTGTCACTATGCTAAAAAATGCTTATATTTTAGGACGGATGGAGTACTATTCTCGTTCTATAATTTATGCATTGCTGATGTGCCAAACGGGCCCTGCACACTAGGGGGTGTTTATATTTGTAAAATTTTGACGTGTCACATCGAATATTATATAGGGTATCGTATGGGGTGTTTGAGCACTAATAAAAAAACTAATTATAGAATCCGTAAGTAAACAGCGTGACAAATTTATTAAGCCTAATTAATCCATCATTAGCAAATGTTTACTGTAGTACCATATTATCAAATCATGGAACAATTAGGCTTAAAAGATTCGTCTTGTAAATTAGTCGCAATCTGTGTAATTAGTTATTTAGCCTATATTTAATACTTCATACAGGTGTTCAAATGTTCAATGTGACAGGGTGTAAAATTTTGGGGTGTGATCTAAACAGGCCCAACACTAGGATTCAGCTCCTACCAGACACTTTTTGCAACTTTACCCAAACTAGACTTTGAGCATTTTTCAGTTTTTCAAGACAATAGCTGATACCGAACATAACAGATAATATCACCTAGTAAAAACCAGTAGTGCATTTTTCATGAACTACTCAACCAAAGCCTGCAGAATTTTCAGCTGAAATTACTTGATCCTACATTTGTTTTTGTAACTAGTATTATAATGCGCTGTCCCACGGAAATGTAGTGGAAACAATATTACCACATAAGAATCAGAAGGCAATATATAGCTGATACTGCACATGATAATCTTGGTACTGATGGTACATTATCGCACAATAACAAAGTTTACCAGTATTGCCATCTGGAAATCACAACTGACTGAGTTCTGTCTTTATCGATGATGCCCTGTTTCAGAAAGTTCATCTGAAGCACTAACAGGCTTGCACCAAACACAATTGAGCAAAGGGTCAAACATATAAGAGACTCTAGAATGCAAGAGTTGGATGAGATGGAACGAATTTAGATTTTAGACCAATAACTTCAAGTCATGTACTCGATGCAACTCAGGATTTTGGGCAATGAGCCACCCATAATACAGTGAAAGAAAAATGAAAGGAGAAAGCGCCTCAGGCATCATACAACACTCTAGCAAGAGCCAAAAAAGGGGAGGAGTTCAATAGCTGACACTTCCTCGCTGTACTGCTACTATTCACAAAGCTGTCACATGATGGAACAACCACACCTGAAATCCTTTGGCTTCTTGGCAACTATTTTATCTGTTGACAGTTGATGAAAAATAAAATAATTAAAATAATAATTACAACACTGCATAACCTTGCAAAAGATAGAACACTTACTGGACTGTTTGTCTGAAGTAGGAGCACGAACTACGACATGCATTGTTGTCAATCCAGAGAAGTCACAAATTGGGCTTTTGCATTCTGAAAGGGTTTTGTTGTTCTCCAATATCTTCCCAGCATTAATAAGCTTGAGGTCATTTACAGTCCTTGGGCCCTTTTCCTTATCTGCTGGGAGTACAAAAAATAAGTCATAAGCAATATTCACTAAAAGCTAAGGCACATAGCTCATAATAGTTGGCAATATAAGAATCATCACTAATCTCGTATGGCATTTCACATGGTAAAAAAGAAAATATAACAATAAAAATATTTTTCGTCCTCATTGGCCAGCAATTTGTAGAATTTGCAAGTTTCACACGTTCACAACCAATGGTTATTTTGTAGCGTAAATTCCAGTGGTATATATCTTTATTTTCGTATATATGATAGCATGAAGTTATCCCATCTATAAGAGTAGACATTAATGTGTACGCAAATAGTTAGGCTAGCAGAATAGATCACCTCACCAAGTGACAAAGTAACTACAACAAATTATTGATATATTGACCATGTTCCAAAAATGACATTCACACTCCCCGAAACTACAAACAACCAAGTTTGACTACAATTGAGCAACTGAATGAGCCACATAGCAATAAATGTAAAAAAACTGGACAACTTTTGAGTTTGGAAAGTAGCCAATTCTGACTGGTCTGCAGAGAAAATTAGCTAGTTTCTAGAAGATTCCAGCTTAATGGGTTCCAAATCAGTCATTTAAATTTTAATTGCTGCATAGCTTAGCACCTTCTGGATATTCAAGGGGGATATTATCTGTTAGTAGAAAGTAGAAGCTAGACAGCAACAGTTTTTCTTTTTTTGTAGAGCAGGATAACCGCTCATAAAGGCTCTGTTCGGCTGCCATTATTTTCACTGTGGTGCAGCCAACAAGCACAGTGTGTTGTTTCTTCCGGCTGTGGCAGTGCAGCGGCGGTACAAAGCAGCCGAACAGGCCCAAAATGTACCCACGTTACATCTAAAAGTACTCCCTGTATACTCTCCATTGCGGGGCATTATAGATACTACCATTTGCTGCATATCTAGTGGAAGCCACAAACTATCCAGTCAAATATGTGATGGCATCCAAATTCTTACAAGGTTATATTCAGTTATCTTACCATTATCTTGATTGCAGGATACATATCCCATATTTCACAATGATGCATCTCAAATTTCTGAATAAACAAATCATGATAAAATATAAACTACTAATATGTGAATACGACGTAAAGAAAATTACTTTCGGTGTCACCCTAGTAGTTCACTGCAATGTCTAAAGCTCAACTGCTCCCACAGAACTTCCAGCAAGTACTAGCCTAGGGAGACTCTTATGTCCCTGCCCCTTTATTACTTTTCCCACTTATTCCTAACTAAAATCAATTGGTAACAGTTGGTTCTTGACCAGCTAGATCTCCAGCCATCAAAAAGCAACCTCAAACACCTACTATTGCTGCATTTTGGAGCTGATTCAAAATGCATCCAACTGCCCACCTTGCACGTGTAGAGGTTGTCATCAATCAATTGATCAGTCACCATCCTTCTCCGAGGCTGTGTTATTGTGTCTTGTGTTTAATGCTGAGGTTCAGCTGTTATAGTATTTCATCAAAATGGTGTCTGTCTGCTATGAGAGGAATGGAGCCTGTGAGAGTGTGATTGCACTTTCAATATTGTTTTCTTTTTGCTGCTATGTCTCAGCAAACTGCCCAATTTATGCTTAGTTTCCATACTTTGAAACCATAAAAATTGAGCTGATTAAACTTTCCTCCCAATTAGCGGCAGCATATCACCTTTCACCATGCCCAAGATTGTCAAGCATTTGTACCAATTTTGAAGCCCAGGATGAGAACAAATAATACTAACTTTGGAGCAAATGGTATGTAAGCAGTGACACTGAAATATGAATAGATAAAAAGGTGTGGGATTTTGGATCTTATAGCTTGGAACTTTGGTCTGTTAGACCTATAAACACGTCTTACTTCTTAATATTACCGCAAGCAGCTTAGCAGTCAAAACCAGGAATAATTATAACTCGACAAATGTGCAGCACTTTTATCAAGCAATTCTACTTTCCCAGCTGCTCCATTAGAAGGTCCCCTAAAAAGCGCTTACCCGGTTACACGGTATCAGTTCATGAAATTCATCTTCCCTACCTACTCTATAGTTCTAACTTGTACTACATCAGTTTTGTTCCTCCTAATCGTTCCGTATTTAACTTATATCTGTAGTACCGGCTTGTCAAATGAAATATATCTCTATGAAGCATTGATTTTGCCGCAAACAATCATTCATCAAATTGAACCTCAGCACAGAAAAAACAGCAGCTATAGCAACAAACCTATCCGACTCTGACTGTGACAGCAACCTGAACAAAGATTGAACTCCTATGACATAGTGGCCCAGTTGTTCGAGCCACCTGCTCCAATAATTGGCTCACCATCCTGCAGTATTGGCCCCCCTGATGGCGACCCTGCAGTGCTGTACATCTCAAGATTCCAAGCTAAATTGGTCGCAGAAAGAACCCGGGAGGGGGGCGAAAGCGACCGCCACATCGACGCCGATCACACGAACGCTGTGGCCACTACCACTCACCCGGCGCCATTGCCAAGAAACCAAAAAAAAAAAAAGCTTTATCGAGTAGAAGAGAGAAAACCTTTAGGCCATTGAGCAACGATGGATTCCTTGAGCGTGGCGACGGTGGAGGCCGCCGGGTACCTCTTGGGCCCGATGTCGGTGCCGTCCGGCAGCCGGAACTTGATCTCAAACTGCTCCTGCACGCCGCCGGACATCTCCGAGCCCCCCCAACGCCAGCTGATGACAACAACAATAGAAAAAAAGCATCTGCTTCAAGAACAAGGGAATACTACTACTACTACTATAATAAATAAATAATTACCAAATTTCTGGGCAGAAAGCGAGGAATCCGGGGGGGACGGAGAAGGCGGGGGCTCAAATCTGGATGAGAAAGGATGGATCAAGAAACCAGGGAGGGTGGGGAGGAGGAAGGATCATAGGAGTGGAGGGGCATGGGGGAAGTAGTACTAGTAGCTAGGCCAAGTGCCCAAGGGGGAAGGAAGAAGACGAAGAGGAGGAGGGAGATTTGGAGTGGGGAGAGGAGAGGGGGGTGTGGGGGGTGGTGGGGGGGGGGGGGGGGGCTCAAACACAAAAGGAAACGAGGCAGCCGCCGGCCGCATCTGCTGTGCGCGACAGGATGGAAAGGAGACAGCCACCACCACAGCCTCGTCGTCTCGTCTTCTTTTTTTTTTTCTTTGGCTCGCGAGCCAACACCACCGCGCACCGCGTTTGGAGTTGGAGTTGGACCGGCTGTCCACACAAAACGGTTGCGCTGGCTCGTGGGGAACCGGGGGATTTCGCTGCTTCGACGGCTCCGTTTAGAGCAAGTTTAATATGGTAGCCCCCTACTGGCCTCCAAATTATCTATATCCAATATAATAACTAATTTATACAATAGTTACTTACTATATTATTAATACATGGTCCTATCTGTTATACACACATTACGTCTTAGAGTCTGTGTTACAACCGGCTACATATCTTTAGCCTGCTGCTCTTCTCTCTCTTCCTTTATCTCTTTAAAATATATTTATAGTTGGCTTATAGCCTGCTATTGTACCTGCTCTTAGTTTCTAAAAAAATTTGGCAAAATTTGCCCTAGAACACCTAAAAATTATGTAATTGGTTGGGAGACACTGTAAAATCGCGTCGTTGCTGATGGACATCACAAATTTTATGTAATTTGCTGTAGGACACCCGAGACAATATTTTATCATTTCTTATAAAAAGAGGATAGAGAAATTTCAAAAAGACAAAATTGCCCTTAGCCTATCTAATCCCCATTGTCAGCAGCCGCTTCCCAGCGTCGCTCGCCAACTGCCGCCGTCGAAGCCGCTCCGGCTCACTAATCGTCATCGAAGCTATCACCGCCACCCGCTTCCCAGCGCTGCCCGCCGTTGCCTCCATTACCGCAGCCGTCGGGCTCATCGACCATCATCGAAGCCGCCGCCGCCGCTCGCTGCTGCCTCCGCCGTCACCTCCGCCGCCGCCTCCACAACCAACGACGCTGCCACCTCCACAATCGGCGATGCAGCCACATCACCGCCGCACGGCGTGCCCGATCCGCCCTTAGACTCACTCATCCCTGCCACGACATTGCTGTTGGGCGTCGTCGTCAGGCTGAGCGCCGGGTGCGTGCAGGTGCTGAAGATCCCGCACGAGAAGAGCGCCCACGGCGACAGCTTGAGCCTCGCCACACTGTCAGTGGCAGCCGCCCAACGCCATCAGATCCAGCCTCCCGAAGTCAGCCTGGAGCCACCGCGCTCCTGGCGTGGTCGCGCCCATGGAGCTCGGTCGCCCTTGCCTACGCGCTAACGCCGCCCAAGGCGCTGCACCGGTCCGCACCGTCGCCGGTGCTATCCCTCTCCCTCAGGCTCACTTGAAGAATTAGAAGAGAGAGAAAGAATGAGAGAGAGAAGAATAAGGAAGAATAAAGAAAAATAATTCAAAGGGTAGAACCGTACTTACACAATAGTTTCTATCTCCTATTCCTCCAAAAATAATAAAATAATGCCGCGGGTGTCCAGGAGCTAATTACCAGTTTTTGCGATGCCCTGTAGCAAATACGTGTTTTTACGGTGTCCCCTAACTAATTACATGTTTTTTGGATATCCTGTAGCAAATTTTGCCAATTTTTTTTCCCAAAAACATCACATTCGAATATTTGGATAAATACATGAAGCATTAAATATAGATTTTTTTTTAAAAAAAACAATTGCACAGCTAGGGGGGAAATCGCGAGACGAATCTTTTGAGCCTAATTAGTCAATAATTAGACATAAGTGCTACAGTAACCCACATGTGGTAATGTAGAATTAATTAGGCTCAAAAGATTCGTCTTGTGGTTTCCAGGCGAGTTATGAAATTAGTTTTTTCATTCGTATCTGAAAACATCTTTCGACATCCGGTCAAACATCCGAGGTGACACCCAAAGAATTTCTTTTCACAAACTAAACAGGCCCGGAACATTTTTAGAGCCGTGAACGGAAATTTTTTTTCATGTCACATCAAATATACGAACACGTATTTGAAGTATTAAATGTAGATTAATAACAAAACAAATTATAGATTTCATCTGGAAACTCCGAGACGAATTTATTAAGCCTAATTAATTTGTTATTATCAAATATTTAATGTAGCAGCACATTGTCAAATTATAGCGTAATCAGGCTTAAAAGATTTATCTCACAGTTTACACGAACTCTGTGTAATTAATTTTTTTTCTATATTTAATACTCCATGCATGTGTCCAAACATTCGATGTGACAGGGTGAAAAAATTTTGTTTGAGAAGTAAACAGGCCTTAGTACTCCCTCCGTTTCAGGTACATTTTGACTTTGATCAAAGTCAAAGTTCCAAATTTAACTAAGCTAACAGACAAATATATAATATTTATAATACTAAATTAGTTTCATCAAATCAATAATTAAATATATTTTTACAATAAATTTGTTTTGGGTTGAAAATGTTATTATTTTTTCTATAAATTTGGTCAAACTTAAAGCAGTTTAACTTTTAGCAAAGTCAAAATATATCTTATAGCTTGAAACGGAGGGTGTAGTATATAATTTTTTTTATTGCTAGACAGTTTTTTTCAGAGAAATTTTCGATTTTTGCTTATGTCTATTTTTTTCATTACGACACGTACGAAGACACATCATGGTGAGGAGGTCGCCATACAAATATGCATGTAGGATGCCGGCATGAACCTAACCATCTTTGCATTTTAGCTAAGGTTAGTTTTTTTTTTCTTGGAGCTAGGCCTATTCCTTTTCGCCTCACGCGGCCTACTAGGCATTGTGGGCTTTATGAGTACAAAAATTCTAAAATTTTCATGCACAAAGTTTATATGTGTAAGTTTGTTTCTATAGTACATTTCACACATAAAGATCTTTTGTATAAAAACTATATGCTATGCATAAACATGTTTTTGGCCAATATGTTAGTCGCTGTCTCACTGATTTAAAACCAGGTCGTGCTCCTTTGCAACTGGACCTCGGCCCTGTTTGGTTCGATGGGCTAATTATTAGCCCTCACCTTTTAACTCTGAATTAGCCCTTAAGAATCCAAACATGTAGGCTAATTTGAGGTTAAAGTGAATTAGCCCCCCTCAAAACATTAGCTCCTCCAAGGGGTGCTAATGGGGCTAATTTTGTGTGGGGACCATCAAAAAGCAGCCCTCTCTCTCTCCCTCTCTCTCCTATCTTTCTACTCTCTCTTCACCTTTTAGCCTTAAATTAACCCATGGATCCAAACATATCATCTTAGGCTAATGTTTAGCCTATCAATACATGACTAAACATTAGCTCTTAAAATTAGCCTTGGGCTAATCTTCCAAATAGGGCCCTCCTCTCTCACACCCGCAAATGTATCCCTAACATATTTAAAGAGATGGAGACGAGTGGCAATTTCATGGCTCACCTAGAAGCGTTTAAAAACGTATTTATGTGTGTAATAGTCGTACGCATCAGGACTCTATATGACTTAAAAAAATAATCTCAAATAAAATGTGGTATATTTTCACTATATTTGGATGTGGCATAATGGTTAAGAACCCTTTGTTTTCGTTCGGCATTATATTATCGCTGAAGTCAAATATTCGTATGTCCTACAAAGGGTTGTCGCTGATTCACTGTCAATAGATCGAAGTTTGTAAGATCTAAGAAAGGGTAGTGCTTGATGAAGGGAAAAGAGAATACAGTTTTGGTTTAAATAAGTGTTATTGGCACATCCTTTTCTTTGCATGAAGGGGTTTAGCGTGTCCATGGTTCCATTCTTCAACTGGGTTGTTTTTAGCTTCTTTTTTTTTTGTCAGACACTAGTTTACATTGTAGGAGGCTGAAAGCCTGAAAGCTCCAATGTGTCTTAAAACTGCCATGTTTAATTGCAAACCACTATCTTGCTTGCATCATATAGGATCAAAACCACCGTGGATTGAGCTGGAGACCATATATTCGATTTTAAAATGTTGAGATTGAGAGTGATTTCTGTGTTGGATGTTACAGTTTAGGTTGTAGTCTCTTGATTCAGTCAAATATATAACGTTTTTCTTACACTAAGATAGTGTTTGAGTGAGCAAGAAAGGGTGAGAAAGTTTTTCGTTTTCCAAGCGCACGCTTCCCGAATTGCCAAATATATAGTGTGTTTTCTTAAAAGAAAATTATATATGAAAGTTACTTTAAACAATTATATTAATCCATTTTCCAAGTTTGGAACAATTAATACTCAATTTTATCATGCGCTAATGGTTTATCTCGTTTTGCATATCTTCTGAACCTTATCCTCTCCCCTCATGTCATGTATTATACTCCCTCCGTACTCGTAAAGGAAGTCGTTTAGGATAATGTTTAAGTCAAATCTTGAGAATATAGATTATGAATAACTCTCAAGTTGTTGAGTTTGAAAATATAAAAATTATAGGGGCAATTGCAAATACCACTATTTTGAATCGTTATTTCAAGACTGCCACTAGAAAATTGCAAGACTGCCACTAGAACTATCATTTGAAATTGAAAAAACCGGTGGCAAATTTGCAAATGCCCCAAAATTATATGAATAGATTTGTCTTGAAAAATACTTTCATAAAAGTATACATATATCACTTTTTAATAAATATTTTTGTAGAAACAAGAAGTCAAAGTTATGTTTTAGAGACCGTGTCACCCTCCAAAACGACTTGAGTACGGAGGGAGTATTTCTCAAAAAATTATATATTGTTGACTAAAGAGGGAGTAGTTCTGAACAAGACATCACTTTGGGAGCTAAACTGAACTTAGAAAATAAAAACTAGGGACACCCACAAATAAACCTTGTGCTTGAGCAGCCGTAGTAGTCACGCTGCACCCGCATCCGCATGCACCAGTCATGGCGATATCAACATTCTACTGCCTTCTCCTCCTCTTCCATTTCTTCGCCTTCCTCTCCTCGATCAGAACCGCCGGCGATGTGACGGCGATCGCCGCCGTCGGCAGCGAAGAAGAAGAAGAACACGCCGTGGCGATCACTGCGAGCGGCCCGTCGTCACCGTCGACACCGCTGCCGGTCGCGATGGGCGGCGCCATGGCCGGCTTCGGGTTCTTGTTCCCCAATAATCTCCGGCTTCTCCGCGGCTTCCCGGCGGTGCAAGAGTTGCACGCGAACAAGGGCAGCGGCGGCGGCGGTGTGGCGGTCTGGGGCTCGAGCATCCCTTGGTGGGAGTGGGACAACCCCGCCGCGCCTTCCGCGCTCCGAGCCGCGCTCTGCCGCCTTTACGCCGAGGCGTACTGCGGGTCGTTCTGCAGCAGGAGGATTCATGGAGCCGACGCGGTGGAGGAGGAGAAGGAGAAGAAGAAGAAGCTTCGCGTGCTGCGCTACGACGCCAACGCGGCCGTGGGCGGCGACGACGACGACGAGCTGCAGCAGTGCAGGCTGAGGTGCGTTGCCGTTGTCGATCTCCCCTGCCACGCTCTAGGTAGAGGCGGCGTCCACACTGCCTACTATTCAGGTATCAACTCTTGATTTGTGTTTCTTTAGATTATCAACTCTTGATTTGTTGATTGTACAGTAATTTGTCCCTGCTATCTTTTCTTTTAGATAATGGGTAGAATTTGGATTTTTTTTTAAAGAAGCTACTACCACTTATTATAGAGTTGTTGGTTCAATTAAGTGCAATAATTAAACCATGACATTCTAATGAAGTTCAAAGTTCGCCAAAATTTTACATGCATGTTGACTCCAGTTCCAGCATTTTTGTTTCACAATTCACAAACCTCTGTGCCCAAAACAAAGCTAATATATATTAACTTAAAAAGTATATGCAAATACGACTTAGTTAGGGATTTATAAAAAATAATATCAGTTCTGCTAAGCCATAAAACTCAACATAAAAGAGGTGTTTATACTTATTGTAGGTTGTACCCGTCTAAGGTATTTGTAGAGTGTAAGAATCGTTGATGCTAGGGTATACGTAAGATTGAGATAGATAGACGAGACGAGAGACGGATATTTTTATATAGGTAATAACCCTACTCCTGTTGGCCAAAGCTGATGTTGCATTTATATATCAATATAGCACGAGTACAATATTTGAGATAATCTAATCTAGTTTCTGTCATGCTAGAGGCATAGAGCTCTTACATGTGGTCGATGGCTAATATAGTTTGCTTCCTCGAATATGAACTTGGTTAGATTGGAGGTCGCCTTAGATCCCTCTTTGATGGCATATGTTTCTCCACATTGGGTTTGTCTTGGCTTGCATCGGTGTATGTTGGCTCGTCTTGGATGTTTAGACCTGTTTTGGCATCCTCTCTCTCCTCCAGAGGGATCTTGTATTTTATAACCTCAGGTGTTCCACCCTCGATAGTTACACACTCAGGTGGTCGGGATATTCACCCTCGACAGTTCCATTGTCCAAGTAAAGCTAGGGAACCAAGCATGGATATGATCTGAGCAGTTCCTGTTGTGTTCAAGTAGGACTTTGTTTCTTTTTCTTTATCCGGAACACCTTCCATGTATGAGACTTGATTCCGTATAAGATTTTGTATATAGTGGGTTCCGTCGGGGCTAACAGAAAAGTATTAGGTATGTATTATCCATAACACTATATTGTCAATACTAAATATGTTTTAGTCAATATAGACCAATAATCAAACTTTGGTTTTAACAAAACACAAAATATAAACAACACTCCAAAGATATTTAGCAAAATGGCAATCAAATAAAAGATGATTGGTAGTTTCATCATACGTATAAAAGCAACAATTTTTTACTACCATCCTAATACCGTTTTGCTAAATTACCCTTGTTCAGACTACCCTTTTAACATATATCACATAAAGATTGTTGTATCGACTTTGGCCTGCAATGCCGGCATTTGCCACATAGAAGATGATGTTGGTTTCCTAAAGATACTTCCACGGTATTATAATTTATGAGATTAGTTTTCCTGGCCTGGTGATATTTTTAATTAGTATCCTAACTACCATGTAGCAAGAGTGGTCAATAAGCAACCAATCATGCATGATAAATATATCATCATTTCGAAATAATTCAGTTTTGATAAAAGTCACCAAATTTTGATCAACAGTATTTATTTAGCATCAAAGTTGTATGCATTTACCGTTATTGCTTATGTAAACATAGTAGCTAAATAATCCCAACGTGTTACCTTTACTAGTATCTTACATTTAAACTTATTTTGCTTTGATCTTGCATAAAAAATAGTTATACTTTATCCTCGGTCACCATATGAAGGCTGTGGCCTGTGGGTGTGTAACTTGAGGCAGCAATATAGCAATGTGCACGCTTTGTTAATTCGTGTGTACTTTTCTTGCACATCTTGTCTAATGTTATGTGTACCTGTTGTGGTATCAGTGATTTTTGACAGGTTGCGATGGCTGGTTATGAATCCATTATCACTACAACCATTATTGGTACTGCTTATTGCGACAACTTGGATCGTCGATTATTTTCTTCTGAAAAATAGGATGGACAATGAAAGGGGAACTGAAATCAGTAAGTTCACTTTTTTCTAAAAGTTAAAAAAACGGTACATAACATTTTGTAAATACAAAAATATACTTGTAAAATTCCATACTTAAGGTTAATAGACAAGGAATTAATGAGGTTGTTTGACCCCCTAACGAAACCTATTTTTAGGGGTGGCTAAAATGGGTTTGCAGAGTTGACAAAAGGCCTATAGAAATGTTGTTTCCAGTGGCGTTTGTCTTGCTAGTGAAAGGAATTTTCACGTTTTGATTTTTTCAGACAGGCCGAAAAAAATATTTCCAATTATTGTATGATGTGATTTCATACAAAATATACATGTGCCAATCAATCAATCAACTAATCTCAAGCCGACAGGTTTTCTGGGTTTCGATTGGACCACGTAGCGCTGTTAAATATTGAGATAAATCAAGCATTTACTAATGTGAAAAAAAGAGAAAAACTCACTTCTCCAGGACCAGAAACAGAGAGAGAGAGAAGGTTAACATATGAGAAATATAGAACCTTCTCAAATCTAAACTACAATGGAGAAAGCCAGAGCCTTCAAAAATATAAGGGCCTGTTCACTTTGATGTTATTTTCAACCTTACCAAATTTTAGTAAAATTATCAAAAAATGGCTACATTTAGTTTGCTGCTAAATTTTGATAACTATATAAGAAATCCTGCCAAAATTTTAGCAAGTTACCAAAATTTTGGTAATAATGCCAAAATTAGTAAGGTTTTTTTGGCATCAAAGTGAACAGGCCCTAAACTACTGTCTTAATCTCCTACGGCAAAAATTCACACAGCAAATTTATCAAAAAAAGAAAAAAATCACAGGGCAACTTAAAAGGAAGGGGGGGGGGGGAAAATGATGGTAAACACGTAAGGGGCCATGTAGCGGTACGCCAACAGTCGTGCTGCCTTTCTAGTATTCCCTCCGTCCCAAACTACCAAACTACAGGGCACCACTTTTTTTAAGAAAATCACACTCGATAGCTTTTGATTAATAATCATACTAACTATATCTATAACTATATCTATACTAAGTATTATTCATGCTATATTACTATATTCATATTTTAAAGTAATTTGATAATCATACTAACTATATCTATACTAAGTATTATGCATGCTATATCACTATATTCATATTTTAAAGTAATTTGATGTGATGCTAATTTTATATTTATTGGGATCATCGAATGAAATAAAATACTGGTTAAAGTATGTTATTAAAAACCATGTAAAAAAAATATAAGCCTTATAATTTGGGACAGAGGGAGTAGAGGGAGTAGTATATAGGATTTGAAGCCAGCACCTCCCTATCCACACACAGCCTGCGTACTATCTTACCTCAAAGGAGTCTCTTTTATTAGCACATATTATTATTCTTTTGACTTCTCTCGTTGAAAATTTGTAACTCTTTTACTTAAATTACCGTCAGGGCCTTTCCTGATAGTTTCCTTTTATAAATAAGAAAGAAAATGAGAATTATTTATAAATGGGAAATTTTGCTACAGGACGGACACCGTGACTTCGTGGTTTTAGCTATAGGACACCGCACGAAGTAACTTTTGGGGGGAAAACACTTCCAAAAGTTAGATATTTATTGGTGGATATCGCATACATAAAAGTAATAATTTTTGGTTGAAGAGGAGAGAGAAATCACATGGAATGTCATAAATGCCCTTGGGCCTACATGTCAGCGCTCCTTTCTCTCTTCTCTCTATCCGCTCCTTCACTTCTCTCTTTAATATCTTCTATCTCTATCCCACATATCAGCGACGACGGTGGGCAGGTGAGGTCCGGCGGCGGCGGTGGCGGCAGTGGGAGGGCGAGGGCGGATCGGCCGAAGGCGAGGGCAGAGTGAACACGACCAACGGCGCATGGAGGAGCGCTGACGCCAGCCAGCGGCACGACCGAATAGCGGCGCCGGCCGGACAGTAGGCGAGGTTTGGTGGTGGCAGCTGCGTGTGCAGAAGCGGCGGCGCAGCCGGACGACGACGGCTGCAGCGCGCGGAGTAAGGAGGGAGGAGCGCCGTCGGCGGTCGGCACCACTGTCCAGGTGTTCCGCTGGCCGGAGCCGTCGCCCTCCCGTCGCTGCGGTCACTGCTCTTGCTCTCGCCCTCCCGCCGCCGGCGGCCGCCAGACCTTGCCTGCCCGCGCATCGTCGCTGACATGTGGGATAGAGAGAGAGGAGATTAGAGAGAGAAGTGAAGGAGGGGATAGAGAGAGAAGAGAGATGGGAGAGCTGACATGTGGGCCCAAGGGCATTTATGACATTTCATGCGATTTCTCTCTCATCTTCAACCAAAAATTATACATTAATGCGTGCGGTGTCCACCAGCAAATATCTAACTTTTGGGAATGTTTTCCCCCAAAAGTCACTTCGTGCGGTGTCCTACAGCTAAAACCGCGAAGTCACGGTGTCCTGTAGCAAAATTTTCCTTTATAAATTTACAAAGACCATACAACTAGATTTATATGTAGTTTGTATCCAATCAAGAACTATCTGGTTTAGAACACTTCCATTCTACATGTAGCTAGAAGAACATCGTCTTTGAAATCTTTCTACCATCTCTGAACACTAGGAGCCACATTCTGAAAAAAAAAAGGTGCATTCTTATGTTTCCACAAATGACAGCAAGGTATAAGACGTTTCTACTACGTACAAACCAGAGTTCAGCCATTAAAACAAAAGGAGTTTGTTACACATGTTTGAAAGATCAATCAATTTTTTGGACTATGGCTGTGTTTAGTTCAGTGTAAAGTTTGGATTTTGGTTGAAATTGGAGATGATGTGACTGAAAAGTTGTGTGTGTATGACAGATTGATGTGATGGAAAATGATTGAAGTTTGGATCTAAACACAGCCATATGCATCTTCTATCAACCTCCACCCATTCACACATGCATCTCTCTTCTCAACTGCACATGCTTACCATCTCCGCGGCCCTGCCCCACCTGCCCCATTCCGTTTCATAGCCCTTGTGCTACCTAGTTTGTTGTTGAATCCTAGCTAATTTTCCTTGACCCTTCTGCCGACCCATGGTTTGGATACACTCATACACATACTCACCCCACCCTAGACCCAAATATATTCTCGTCATCATCATCGCCTTGGCACATCTTCACAGGAGACGAGGTTGCCTCTGTCTCTCGAGCACAACCACAACCACCAAGCACTGATGCACATCAATTTGTGCTCCAGTTCTTGGAGGGCTAACTTTGGTTCTTATATTATGTTTTATCCAATGTGGTCTCCATGTTTGAATTTTTAATTCAAAACCGTTATGATCCATTTGAAACACCATGTAGCAAGCCAATTCAGCATACACTCATCCTTGGTTTCAAGCTCACTTTTGACAACACATTATGGCTTCAATCCTAGTGCAATGTAAAACATGAGGGCATAATAGAATTTGCATAAATTGAGTTGATTTGTGCACATGGACACATTGTGCTTCAAGTGTCTTGCAAGGACCATTTCAAACAAAAATATAAATACGGAAGACTCTGATGGATTGAAAGAAACACAGTAGCAAGCTAAGCCTTTAACAAAACATGGTGGAGGAAATTGCTATTCTCCCAAGTCATATAGGTATGAGGGCATAAAAAATAGTGTTTTTTTTCGATTCAATAGGCCTATGGTCGGAGGATCCCTCCTATCTATACCCCTTTCCTTGGTAGGTTTGGTAAGAAAGCAAATGAATACATAGAGTTTTGAAAAGAAAGAAAGCACATAGCTTGACAAGTGAGCATCCTATAGATGGATGTGGGAAAGGCAGATAGGAGAGGACAATGGGGGGAGGAGGAATGACATAAAGTATGTTTTCTAGTCCAACCCCTCAGTACAGCTCAAGGGTTGACTAACTTGTCCGGCGGTCCAGAAGAATCGAAGGCAAGTAAAGGCGATCGACTGCCTACAGATGGTTGAGGAAATTGCTATTCTCCCAAGTCATATAGGTATGAGGGCATAATAGACTTTTGTATGTCCAAGCTCGTGACTTTATATGACACTAGCATATTGCATCAGTGTTGCAACATGATTTTAATTAAAAAATATTATTATTAACCCATTATTAGCATACGTCATCTTTTTGTTTATATATGTGTGCGTATTACTAACACGTGAATTCTCTAGACCTTACACTTGTTTTAGTGGTGGGGGTGGTTGACATGTGGGGCTAGAGATGGCTGACATGTGGACCCTCTGGCTCCACATGTCCTTTTTCTTTTCCAAATAATAGGGAGTTGGTGGTGGGAGTGGTGGCAAATTCACCTCTCACCACCATCACTATTATCTTTTGTAAGAGTATAGATGAGTAATACATACTTCTTGTTCTAGCTGCGTACATATTTGAGAGCATGACATTCTTAGCATATGATCGAGCCAAGTTGACTTTTCACATTGCCAAGATACATTAGATTGTCATTATTCGGTGTGCAGATTTAAAAAACATGCATATCTTAGAAATATGTTGATCATGAGAAAAAAAACCAATGTGATTATTTTATTTGTGATAAAATATGCATATTATATATTATTATATACAGGTACAATAGAATATTTTTCAACTGATGAAGGAGTCGATTTAACACGAAGTAGTATTGCTAGCATTGCTCCCATAGATCTATCAACTATGGAAAGGGCCACGGGAGGCTTCTCCAAGAGGAATATCATTGGTGAAGGTGGTTTTGCAATTGTTTACAAGGTAATGTTTCTCAAGGTTTATAAAAAATGATTCCCCGCAATATTGATCACTTTCCATTGAAGTTTTGAAGATTAGCATATTGGTGAACTTGGTGTTTTACTTTATATAAATTTATCAGAACATGAGAATTACATGGGCCAGCAATACATATTGACCCCCCTAAAATAACTACTATTTGGCACTCTATAGCTTGGGAAATTATTTTAGACAATTGGGCCTCTACTTCCTTTTCCTCCTTCCTATCCTCCTCTCTGCAGCAGCAAGATCAGCATGGCACAAACCATGTCTGCTCTGGTCTGCAATAACTTGACTACTCATGCCATTGATGAGAATGTGCTCATGTTCATTGCACTCCTTGCCCATCTTACTATTGCCTATGACATCCATGCCAAAACAGTAGAGTGCATCCATGCATTAAGATGCACAATAGCAGTAGCATTGGCACAAGTTGCCAAGAACACATGAGGTAGGCCATGGCTACAAGTTAGATGTGGAACCTTCCAAATCATCTTCTAAGGCGTGCCCCTTGGAAAGGATGAAATGGATGCTAATTGTGTTGTCTGAAGGTGAGTCTCCCTACATAAACTTCCACTTGCCTTCACCCTTTTGTGTCAAACCAAATTCGTCACAAGGTTGTCATGAGATATTTTTTGTGACGAATTTACGCTGATTTGTGATGACATTGCACCATCATAGAAGTCCAAATCTATTGTAGTTAAACTGGCATACATGGCTAGCTGTGCAAATGTTTACCAATCAGGTCTCTTTTCGAATGGAAAAAGTTTATTTGGAGGATTTTTATGGGAAGAGCCATAGGGGTTAAACAAAGAACATCCAAATTGAAATAGCTAAGTGATCGAAGTAAATCTTCAGTGGCATATATAAGTTATTTATCATACATATTCATAGCTAAGATTTATAATTTACTCAGGGCATGTTTGGCGTAGAGCTTTTGGTAGCTACAGCTTTAAAAAAAACTTCCCCAAACAGTAATTTTTTTTTGACATTTAAACAGCAGGAGAGGCTCCTATTGTGCTATATCTTTACCTATTATAAAAGTTTAAGATGTTTTTGCCAAAAATTTTTCGTACGTTGTCCGATTCCCTCCCCGTGATCTTTTTTTTTTTGCGATTTTTCCTTGTTATTTTCCAGTCCGACTCCCTCCCCGTTCCCACTCGTGTCGCGCCACAGTGCCAGTACCACATAAGGCGGATGTTGCACAAATTCAAATACCGATACAAAATCCAATCGGACATTGAATCTAGAGAAAAAGAAAACGAAACAAGAAAAATAAAAAAACCGCACAAATAAAAAAATTGCACAAAAAAAAGCCCACGACCGGCTCAAATCGATCCAATTTTCTTCATTGAGTACTTCAATACCCATCCCCAAATTGAAGATGAATATATGAACAACAAACAATAATCCCCATAACCTTATTTCAAGATATGAACAACACATACAAATCCTCAAGATAAAAAAAACATGAATAAACATGAACAAATCACGCGAGTAATTCATTATCATCGCCATCGTCACTGCTTCTGCTTCTGGTGTGGGAGGAAGAACAGGAGGGGGCGGCGTCACCATCGCACCTCCCAGATCGGCCCATCTCCGACCTCCAACACTAATGGATCGGCCAAGCCACCAGAGGTAAGTAGAGGAGAAAGAGAGGAGAAGAAGGGTATTTGTCGCACCTGCAGCCCATTGTCGCCGTCAGCTCGTTACCATGGAGGTCGTCGCCGGTTGATGCCGTAGCCGGCGGCGGGAGGAGTCCGGAAGACCGAGTCGCCGTCGCCGCCGCCTCGAGTCGCTGCGCCCTTGCCGGGAAGGGTGAGTGCAGGAAGAGGAGGAGATGGAGCAGAAGAGGACGGATCTGGGACGCCGGACCGCCGCCGCCTCCCCTCCCATTGGATCCGGCAGAGGGGAGGGCGCCGCCCCTGCCCGCCGCCTCCCCTCCCGCCGGAAGGGAGGGCGCCGCCGCCTGCCACCACCCGTCAGCGTCGAGCCCTCCCGCGGCCCCATGGTGAGGGAGAGGAGGTGAGGGACGGAGAGGCGTCGCTGCGCGGAAGGAGAGCCGCCGACGCCGAGGAGTAGCTTGCCAGCGCTGCTCCCTGGCTCGTTGCGCACCGCTGCTCCTGCTCTCTAGGCATCATTGCCACGGGACAGCGGGTCGTGGGTAGAGGGAGAGAGGAGGCATGGAGAACAAGACAGGAGAGGAGAGGATGTGTGGCTGGCGACAGGAGAGAGACGGGAAAGAGAGAGAGAGAGTAAACGAGACAGGAGAGAGACGGGAAAGAGAGAGAGAGAGTAAACGAGAGAGGGTGGATAGAGATAAGGTTCTTTGACTAGAAACAGTCACGATATTTTCTCAGTAACGTACTGTACCAGCTTCTGTTTTTCTTATACTCCCTCCGTTTCAAAATGTTTGACACTGTTGGCTTTTTAACACATGTTTGACCGTTCGTCTTGTTCAAAAACTTTTGTGAAATATGTAGAATTATAAGCCTACATAAAAATATATTTAACAATGAATCAAATGATTGGAAAAGAATTAATAATTACTTAAATTTTTTGAATAAGACGAACGGTCAAACATGTGCTAAAAAATCAACGGTGTCAAACATTTCGAAACGGAGGGAGTACTAAAATGGAATCTACGACCTAGATATGCTATTCATTGAACTGAATTCCGCTGAAAAATTACAGTGGGTTGAGATACACGTATATACTTAGTGTTGTTCTCTTTAATTATTATTTTCTACTAGCGAAAATACTCGTGCGTTATAACGGGTGAAAAAATATTTAATCATAATATATGTTTTTCATGCATAACCATGTCAATAACAATGTTTGTATGGATCGTTTGTAGCTGAGACAATAAAAAAATTGGAACATCTTCAATGTAATCTCTCATGTTTTTATTTAATTTTTTTACGGACGATGGAAATACTTTTTTCTCGCGTATTTTTTTATTTTTTACAGAAGACAGAAAACATTATTTTAACGCTTTTTCTGACTTTTTTTCTCACGTATTTTTTAACCGTTTTTATTTTCTCATGCTTTTTTAAGTTGTAGAATGAAAACTTCTCTTTTAAGTAGTTATATTAGATTAGAGATAGAGAAGAGATATATACTGTCTACTAAAATGAATAGAAATCGGACTTCTTTTCCACACTTTTTTCCTACCTTTTTTCATGCGTGATTTTTTTAGTTTATACGAGCCATTTTTTCGTCACTTTCTTAGGAAATCGGACAAACTTTTTTTACATGTTTTTGTGGTTTTTTTTATTCTTCGTCTTTTACATATTCAGACTTTTTTCCATTTTTATGGGAATCGGATCTGGCTTTTTTTTTAACTTTTTTTCACCTTTATAGGAATCAGATTTTTTTCCCGTTCGGATCTACATTTTTTTTTTTTGCCACTTAGTGGAACCAGAATTTTTTTAGTTGTTTTTTGCTATTTTTTCTCAGATTTTTTTCCTTTTTTAGGGGGAATCGGATCTACGGTTTTTTTTTCGCCACCTTTTTAGGGGAGTCGGACTTTTTTTTTTGTTGTTGTTTTTTTTGCTATTTTTTTTATTTTGACGGACGAAGGAAACGTTTTGAAATTTTTTAAGTAGTAGAGATTGCTGACACCAAAATCACCAAAACTTTTCTACTATTATAAAATTGAAGATAATTTTACCGGTACTCTGGTACGTCATCCGTGTATAAGTTGATTTTTAACCGTATTGAAAAATACAGTTCGTTCGCTTTTGAAAATACAGATCTATATTTGAGTCGGGTTTTAATTTCGTTCGCTTTTGAAAATACATAAGGAGTCGTATAAGAAATCTCTTGAAAAAAAACTCGCGTGCTAACTTAACATGATTTAATCTCTTGAAAAGAAAAACTTGCATACTAACCTGGCATTATTTTCTAGAAAAATATATATCCAAGCGAATTCTCACAGTGAACAATAATAAGATTAAAATAGCCTTCACCCGTTGCAACACACGGGCATTTGTTCTAGTTAAAATAAATATGCGAAAGTTACAGAGTTACATTATGTACACAAAGGAGTTAAGAAATACTAGCTATCCATGATTGCCGTGTTGGTAGATCAGCTTCCTTTGCCCTATGCATATGCATGGCAAACTCCCTTTGAAAATCTATTTTCCACCTATCAAAACTGTGAGCAACATTATTGAAAATAACACCATTCCTGCTACACCAAATGTGCCAGCATCCAATTGCTAGAACTTCGAAGAAGAAGTTGTGCTGAAAGGAGTTTTGAGCCGATATGATCATATTCATTATTTCCAGGGCCATGTTCCATTGAATGCCAATGTGTTGCCAACATTGCTAAGCCACAGGGCAAGAGAAGAAAAGGTGTGTCATGTTCTCTGCACTTGAAGTGTTACACATCACACAGTTTGGTCCACCGTGAACGTTGAATTGTTTCTTCTGAAGCAGTTCTTTTGTATTGAGTCTATTCATTAGCATGAGCCAAAGGAAGACTTGTAATAAACTATAGTTGAAAAATTTAGAAAGTGAATTTAGAATATATAAGTTGGTTTTCCCAACTTCTCCATATTCTCACCGATTGGATTACAACCGGTTGTTTTCCAAAATCTAAAGCTCCTATAACTAGGCCATTAATTTTCTTTTGAAGGACAACCTAAGCGGTGTGAACGGGTCTGTAGCCTAGCGATTACGGTGCTCATGTAGCACCTCTAGGTCCTGGGTTCGACTCCCTACGTGAGCAAATTTCAGGCCTAGTTAAAAAGGTCACTTACTAGCCCATCGTAAAAACACATGTTAAGAATTGACGTATGAAGGATGGGCCCTCATGTAGGGTGCAGGGGCCTCAAAGTACAGGTTAAGAACTAACCCATAGGGGACGAGCCGGTGTGTGGGGGCAAGGGTCAGTTGCCTTTCTTGAACTTGTTTGGTTAAGGCTTCCTGTTCTTAATGAAAAGTCGTGGGGTGGTCTTTCCTCCACCGGTCAAGTTTTTTGAAGGAGGGCTTAACAGGTAAGGGCTATCAACGTAGTAGTTTGGCGTTGAAAAAACTGAGTGACATTACCATACAAATTTAGACATAGATTGAACTTTACTCAATGTCTCAATTTGTTTACAAGCTAGTCATCCCTTAAGGAAATTCTCAAAACTTAGATATCTCCAGGGAAAACTACCTAGGAATCATGTCCTTGCAAGAGATTTACAATACAAGAAGAAGATTGCAGTAAAGAGGCTTAAACCATCGGCTCTGTCCACAAAAGGCTTGCATGATTTCACTAGAGAAGTGGAGCTGATGTCTAGGGTTAGGCATGGCAACCTCAGCCAGCTCCTTGCCCACTGCATTGAAGGGGATGAGCGGATACTTGTATATGAGTACATGCCAAAGAAGAGTTTGGATGTCTACATATTCGGTGAGTATGCTATTGCATAGGCAGATTAACTATATTATATTTCCTCCATTTTTTAATAGATGACGTTATTGGCTTTTAATATGTTGTTTGACTATTCATTCTATTAAAAAATAAAAGTAGTATTTATTTTTTATGACTTATTTTACATTAAAGAAACTTCAAGCATGCCTTATATTTTTCATATTTACATTAAAAAGAATGGTCAAATGTTATGTCAAAAATCAACGGCATGATATATTTTAAAAATGGAGGTAGTACACCTAAGGAGCCTATCTTTAATCTTTTTGAGCTTGCAGCATTATGTGGCATGCTATGCATGTTCTCAAACCTTCGTACTCTCTCCGTGTTGATAATAGTTGTCATTTTAGACACGAGCACGGTCTCCAAAAAGTAACTTTAACAACTATTTTCTATTATAATATCTATAGAAATATCAACAAATATATGATTTTATTGAAGTACTTTTTAAGACTAATCTATACATATGGTTTTCATATTTTTAAGATAAATATTTTAAAAATTATTTATAGTCAAAGATTTTAAAGTTTGACTTTATCCTTGTTCAAAATGACTAATACTATCAGCCCGGAGGAAGTATTAATTCAGTGTATTGGCAGGTACACCAAAACGTCGGGCTTCTCTAAACTGGGCAAAGAGACTAGGTATTATCAACGGGATGGCCCAAGGTGTCAACTACCTTCATGAAGGATCAGGGGAGATTGTCATTCACAGGGATCTGAAGCCTTCCAATGTGCTCCTTGATGATGAATTCACACCAAAGATAGCGGACTTTGGCACGACTAAACCACTTGTTGCTGATGGCACTGGAACTCAGACTATAGTTTTTTCACCGTAAGAAATTGTTTTAGTACATAAAAGACAAATACATATACCCACATATTGCACACACCAGAAACTGTTTTAACACCCTCATGAGACGGGGCCCAACATTGAATCCTTGAGCTCACAAAAATTTCTACTGAATATGCACGTGTGTACATATAATTATGGGCACTAGGATTTAAACCTAGTAGATATAGTTATTCATCCACAACTACATCACAAAAAAGGTTCCCTTCAGGCTTCAGCATAAGAAACTTTTGACATTCTCCATTGGACTACATGTGACCAAGTCCCTCTTTGAATGGTTGCTTACTTTTCTTTAATTGTGATTTTGTTCAATAGCGGTTTAATTTAGTGCACATCACAGAGGTTATGCAGCTCCTGAGTACATCCGAGGGGATGTGACATTGAAGTGCGATGTGTATAGCTTCGGAGTTGTGCTACTAGAGATAATCAGTGGGCAGAAGAACACTCTTAGGCCAAGCCTCCTTTCAAAGGTAACTCTTGGATGCCCTCATCTGCAAAATATCAATGATGAAATTTACGCGTGTTCCTAAAAGACTCGCATAAAAATAGGGGTGAGTCTTGGGCCCTAAGCTTGCCTTTGTAATCATATTTAAATTCTCTTATTTCACCTTTGAAATTTTGGAGAAAACCTATAACCTATTAGTCGAGACCTTTGTGAGCCCTAAGTTTTGTTATTTCGGTTCCACCGCTGCATGAAAATATATTTGGCAATCAATATGTGGTTAGCACACATACATTACTTAGAAACTTGAACGCAAAATTCTTTTTACTACAAGAAATCATAGTGTTGTAGCAGCGAGCAAGCAATCTTTGTGTTTGCATGCAGGCCTGGAAACTGTGGGACGAGCACAGGATCATGGACCTCGTTGATCCGTCAATGGTGAGACGCTGCTCTGGAGCGGAGGGGCTCCAATCGCACGTGCGTAGGTGCATCCAGATCGGGCTCCTCTGCGTACAGGACTCGCCCTGTGACAGGCCGACCATGTCCCAGGTTCTGGCGATGCTCACCGGCGACGACTCCTCATGGCTGAACAAGCCTAAGCCACCTGCCATGTTCGACGACCACCACCGCCACTAACCGTCTCTCTCTCTCTCTCACACACACACAGAGTTGTTCACAGAATTGTAGTGGTAGCCTTTCAGAAGATTGACTTATTATTACTAAATGATGCATACGAGTCTAGTAGTTCCGATGCTTGTAGTCAGTTGTATTAGTTGATAAAGTAGGAGACAAATTAAGGCAGTTGTTCTAATCTTTCTCGTAGTACTATCACTTTCTCTCCACTGATGTAATCTGATCTTTTATAAGGAACTATCTATGTTGTGTTGTGTTTCATAGAAAATCATACTTCTAATCTTATGAATTCTGGACCACTGGATCAAACTCAAATGCTCCATAGACCTCCCTCTCTCCTCCTTATCTCCTCTACCTCTCCTCTCCCCTAAGCTGTACGCGCTCACGACACGTGGCTACGCTAACACTCGAGCTCTGCTTTTCTACTCCCATCCTTGCTAGCATTGACTCTAGCAAGGTGTCTCCGCGCCGCCCTCCTCCAAAGTCTCAAGCGGCTCCCGCCACTGGATCCATTACTACCATCCGCCGCCACCTAACAATTCTGACAAGGTACCCTCACCCTATCATCCTCTTCTGTCTCCCGCAGCTCTTGCGACTGGATCCATCGCACCTCTCTTAGCTTCCTAATATCTCCATTCTGCTTTGCTCGAACCACTAACCTTGCCCACCGCCCGTGGCCACCATCGCTGCCTTGCCGACCCCAGCTCCATGGCCTATCACCGGAGCGATGCCTCCCTATAAACCGAGGGAGCTTCCTCCTCTTCTCCTCCTCCCATCCTGACCAAATCCTAAAACTTAATTGGTTGGGTCACCACTAAGTCTCATCAAAGTTGTTGTAGTTCATCAGAGCTAGAGGAGAAGGGACAGGGCACCATCACAGAGCAGATATGATGGTCTAAAATCTATAAGAGTTCTCCCCTATTATCTATTAAATGTTAGCAAATTCCATTTTTATAATGATGTTGGGTTTGTAATGGCTGATAATAATGAGTGAGCTCCCTGCTTGTAGTTGTATCATCCTACCCATCTAATAGACTAATTAATTATACCTCTACGTGTTTTCACTACTACTGAACATGTTATTAGTGCCGGTTGGGAAGCCTCACCAGTATCTATTTCAGGGTTATGGATACCACATACCTAATAATAGTTGACTAAATCTCGGTAGGACCCACCACATACCATGTCCTATACGGAAACAACCTGCGGATATAAGAGGAGTTCCGGATAAGGAAAGACAACCAGAGTTCTACATGGAAACGATAAGGACTACTCGGATTGTATCCATATTGGTTTCCCTAGTTCTACTTAAACAAGGGGACACCTATGGGTATAAATACAAGGCCCCCTAGGAGGAGAGGGGACATAACCACCACAATTAACACAGACAATCAACACCCACCATAGACGACACGGAACAATAGATCAAGACACAAGATCAACATACAAACCAACATACGCCAAGACAAGACGCCGGATATCGACTTCACGGATAGGCACGGCTAGTACCCTACGGTGTCTCCGGATACTGTCAGGAGAGACGAAAGCGCTATCTCTGATCTCGCCGGGCACAGATTCGAGGAGGAAGACTACCCTGTTGTCGACTACGAGTCAGACCTTCAGACCGCCATGTCGACAACAGTTAGATAGGCTACCCCAAATATTGTACTGGTGTGATTATGGTGGATAAGAACAATACCGGCTTTGACCAATAGGATGTAGGGTTATTACCTGACAATTCAGGGGCCCGAACCTATATAAAAACCCCTGTCTCTGTCTCTTTTACCTCAGTCTCGCATATATCCTAGTACCAACGATCCCTATACTATGCAAATACCGGAATCGCGATATCAAACGTCGACAGTGGCACGCCAGGTAGGGGCCTTTGGTGCTTCAGGATTTCGACGAGATGGGTTTAAGAGCTGGATTCTCCGACAACAAGCTACTCGACGACTTCGACTATGAAGAGATTTAAGCCGACCGAAGTATGTCATCCGACAAGATTGGAACCATCATCATCAACTATTCGATCCGACGAGATCGACCAAGCTTCAAGACGTCGCTACTGCAGAGAACAACGGTTTAATGTTGTCGACCGCAAGGCCTCTGCCCGGATCGACTACCTTCGAATTCGGATTGGTTCGGAGCTAGCTGACGTCAACCGAAATCAATCTACTAAACCTCGAGAAAACCACCATCTGTCTTCGACGGACATCGGTACTCTCGAGGAATCAGAGTCGGATGTCACATTGATCTTCACGTAGACTCGTCATGCACGTGGAGGATACAAGTAAACAACAACAAAGACATGCATGATAGCCGAGCATGCTGACCCACGGACAATGATGGGACATGCTAGCCCGTATGGATGGAGGGATTAACTATTGAGCTAATCTACCCTAAGTTAGCAAGATGCTAAGTGTACGCGACAAGATTACCAGGGAAGATATGCATGAGCATGGACGCTTCCCAGAGTAACGTAAATATGGTATTTAGTAAGATTAATTTCGTAAATTGATCTACTAATTCCGTAGATATATCTGGCATATATCTACAAAGGTACACAATATTTTATATGCAATTTACCGTACCTATATTCAGATCATACAGCATTGTCAGATTCATATTATGTTTACCTAGAGCATGTTCTATTGCGCGAGTGTCCCCGATGTTAAATCGACTACGGTTTAACGCTGAGGGCTCGCTCTGTTTTCCTCTTCATAAATCATGCTTGTTTACGGTTTACATAATGCCTGATATTTACATCTGCTCGTTATATCCTGATAATGCTAGAAGATCCATGCAGCTTTTTGAGTACATACTCGATATTATCTGCTATATATCTTGTCTTCTAGAAAATATTTTTCAGGAACAATTGAGCACTCGAGTAGGTTGTGGTCAAGTACACCGTATTGTCGAGAATGATCTCGACAAATGCAGAGTCGTCGCGCCCAATCTACCAACGAAGACCGATGACCTATCTCATAGCACCGGCCGTGGCTGGACTATTTAAGAAAAGGTTGTTAATGGATAATTCCTCGTGAACACCATCGGCTTGATCACCCGACATGATTGCGAACGGACATCAGGATATGCTACAAGTTGGGTGTGTGAGTCATGCTGGCCACATGAGATACACATGTAATAAACCAACTCTAGCACTTCCATTGGTGTTCGAGAGATGATTCTACTCGCTCGCTGGTTCTCGAACCAGTACGTACGTAGCAATCTCCTGCACCGCAACTTCCATTGGTGTTCGAGAGATGATTCTACTCGCTCGCTGGTCCTCGAACTAGTACGTAGCAATCTCCCACACCGCAACTTCCATTGGTGTTTGAGAGATGATTCTACTTGCTCGCTGGTCCTCGAACCAGTACGTAGCAATCTCCCACACCGCAACTTCCATTGGTGTTTGAGAGATGATTCTACTTGCTCGCTGGTCCTCGAACCAGTACGTAGCAATCTCCCGCACCGCAACTTCCATTGGTGTTCGAGAGATGATTCTACTCGTTCGCTGGTCCTCGGACCAGTACGTAGTAATCTCTCGCACCGCAACCTCCATTGGTGTTCGAGAGATGATTCTACATGTTCGCTGGTCCTCGAACCAGTACGTAGCAATCTCTCGCACCACAACCTCAGATGGTTGAGGTATGACTACAGCAATAACGCAGCGGTCCTCGCACCACGACTTCAAATGATCGAGAGACACCTACTCATTGGTTCTCAACCAGTCAATCGTAGCGATCTCTCGTACATTTACTTCTAGCGGTTGAGTTACGACTACTACCTGGTTCTTGACCAGAGGTGTAGCGATTCTCCCATTACCTCTACTTCAACAAAGTTGATATCAGGTACACAATATCGCTAAGTGTTTTACCCCGAGATCCCTTACCACAAAAGACACCTACCGTTGAAACCTATCCTAATGTCCCTTTACGTCGTCCTGACAAGGCCTCCGAGGAACCTAAGGGAACTTCAGCTGGGGACGTCCAGAGCGGATAAGGCCTTGTCGAATCCTTTAGAGACGAAAGACCATATAAGATTTGGTCGTGTAAGAGTTCTCGCCGTGCGTATTAACCAAGCCGTGTAATCGGAAATCGGGTTTTCCAACTTCACGGCTGGGGGCTAGGATCAGTACTTGTTCAACCAAGGCAGCTCAAAGGTCCAAGAGCCTTATCTTCCGAGAACGATTCTCCGACGACAAGGCTGGGGGCTAGGGAAAGTGTATGACTTAACAAACTGACTGATCGAAGTCGGTAAAAGAGTAGATGCTCATATACAAAACATTGGTCTATAAATTTAATTCATTTTCAGTTTTCCATACATTCTATAACATGTTACCCTTTGAGCGTTTGCTCGGGGGCTATTTCTATCTAATATTCTTTTCTGAGTATTGATTTCAGGAAAATTCTATTCGACATTGACGAAGGCTCCATGTCTCTATGGTTCTACACCAAGATCGACTAAGGCGAGTACGACAAATATCGACAAGGCTTCGTCGCAGATTCTATGCCTTCTCGATCACTCGAGAACGGTTGGTGGATCTCGACAAGGAATACGGAATGAAGAGATGGTGTACCCGCCGAGATAAATTTCTTGACTTCAATCCAAATTCTCGATTACAGCAAGACGGGAGACTTAGTCGTATGCTTTTGTACTTTCTTGGTTGACGTCGGAGATTGACTCAGACAAACCCTTTAGGTGCCCGCACGAGGCTGATAAAGGAAGTTTAACGTTATCTCTGAACTCATCGAGAACAGTCACGTGAGCTCGATAACAGTTCCTCCAAGGTCTGCGGTTGAGAATATGAACTCGCTCATTTGCATTGAAGTCGGGCGCTACTGTCAGGGTTATGGATACCACATACCTAATAATAGTTGACTAAATCTCGGCAGGACCCACCACATACCATGTCCTATACGGAAACAACCTGCGGATATAAGAGGAGTTCCGGATAAGGAAAGACAACCAGAGTTCTACATGGAAACGATAAGGACTACTCAGATTGTATCCATATTGGTTTCCCTAGTTTTACTTGGACAAGGGGACACCTATGGGTATAAATACAAGGCCCCCTAGGAGGAGAGGGGTGACAACCACCACAATCAACACAGACGATCAACACCCACCATAGACGACACGGAACAATAGATCAAGACACAAGATCAACATACAAGCCAACATACGCCAAGACAAGACGCCGGATATCGACTTCAGGGATAGGCACGGCTA